TCGTATCTTATCTTATGTTACCTTATCTTATTTTATCTTATCTTATCTTATCTTATATTATCTTGTCTTATCTTATCTTATCTTATCTTATGTTATATTATATTTTATTTTATTATATTTTATTATATTTTATTATATTATATCATATTATAATATCTTATCTTATCTTATCTTATCTTATCTTATCTTATCTTATCTTATCTTATCTTATCTTATCTTATCTTATCTTATATTATGTTATGTTATGTTATGTTATGTTATATTATATTTTTATTATATTATATTATATTATATTATATTATATTATATTATATTGTATTATATTATATTATATTACATTATATTATATTATATTATATTATATTATATTATATTATATTATATTATATTTATTTATTTAAGCTATGTAAGCATTGAGCTGCATATCTTCGGCTTTCGGCAGGAGTGCGATGCGAAAGAGCTGGAGTACAGATGGAGCGACATCACTGTAAATGCAAACAAGGCGCATCGAAGTGGAAGAGTGTGCATGAATGGAAAACGGTTCGATCCCAGGTCCCACACTTCTGCCTATATAAGCCCTTCAACCCTCTTTGAGGTTTTTGCCTCTTGTGGTGCGGCACTTATCCCGACCTCCTAGGATCCTAGAGTAGCCTGTTGAACACATCAACCGAGAGACCTCGTCTGGCGGATTCCGAGTTGCAAGAGGGTTTAGGGTTTAGTAAATGCAGGCCCTAAATTCTGGATCCTTGCCTGCCTTGTGCGAGCCGTGAGAGTCAAAACCCAGAGCTCTTCTAGACGCCCATGCTGCATCAGATCATAACATAGCATATCATATCGCATGTTACGATAGCATAAGCCATCTTATACTATATATACATATCTGCATATGTATATGTATGTATATATATATATTATATTAATATATTATATTATCAAAATAATATAACATATGAGACGAGAGGCGGAGATGTCCCGGAAGCTTCGAGCTAGCTCGTGGTTCAAAGGCCCCTGCCCAGGGGTGGAGCGGGCGGTTTGGGCTTAGTGTTTAGGGTTTAGGGCTGTAGGGCTGGGTTCAAAAAAAGGGCTGTAGGGCTTATGGTTAAGGATTTAGGGTTCTTAGGCCTTAGGGCATTAGGGTTTAGGGCTTCACGGTTTGGGTTTGCAGTATGTGCTCTTTGCTTGAAGAGAGAGACTTTGTTCCAGCTGGTTTGTTCCAGCCATTTCCATAGAGGCATAAGAAGAAATTCCCACAAATTTGAAATCACAACCCCTAGACTTAAGCCCTAACCCTAAACATTCCTAAACCCTAAACCGTCTAAACCCACGAATGTGCAGGTGGCACCTTTGGGCTTCCGCTGGTCGACGTCTATGGGGATATGCACCAAAGGCCCGTCAGCCATGCATCCTGTGGGTTGCATTTACCGAGGGTAGGACCAAAACGGACTGCTTGCTGACTTGGGACATGCCGAATAGGATGCAGAGTAAGTAGTGCTATGCTTAGACTCTTGACGGCTGTGCAAGCAAACAGCTTGTAGAACTAACTGAACTGAACCCAGGCCAACTGTCGACGTTGTCTTGGCGGCCAAGAAAGCATTGCCAAGCGATGCCGAAGTGGACAAGATCAAGAAGCTTGGCCGGGTGTGAACGATGTCGGACTGGTAAGTCAGCATAAGGCATAGGCGGGTTTAGGCAATCGCCTGACAGTGCTGGTGATCCGTAGGCACCCTCAGAGGTCGTGGTCTCGAGATAACTATTGGAGGACCTTTCGAAATAAGTGACTCGATTCCTCACCTGATCCTCTGATGCGAACCGGTGTCGCAAGCTGTCGTCCCAAGGAAGCAGTTCAAGGAGCTGGATGTGAATAAAGACGGTACTCTCAGCTTCGAGGCCGGGCGAAACCAAAGGGCGCATTCAGCGAGTTGGTTTCAGTAAGCACCCCGTCTCACTGAGGGTCAGATATCTCTGCTAAACCCTTACAGGCCCCCTTACACACTTCTGCCGAAGCCGACCCGACGAGATGTGGTTGACTTGTGAGGGACATCTTTCTTGAAAAGTTGGGGCAACTGCAGAAAACCTGTGCAGTAGTATGCAGTTTCCTGCTGCGTGGGCTCGGGAAGCAAAACCAGCCCCTATACTGCCTATACTGTAAGGGCCTAAACAATTACAAAAACTATTTTGGGGGTTCCTTGCTCTGATTATAGTATAATGGGCCCCTAAAGCCCTATTCTCGGCCCCGACATTAAGCCTCACCCACCAGGAGATGAAGAAGATGATGGTGACATTGAGCCCCAAACTCTCTGAGGTCCAATTACAGACGCGCGGCCCGATCGGGGGGACATGAGGGTAACTATGTTTGACCTAGTTGAAATCTTGGCAGTTGGCACCAGACTCAGAGAAGGATCTGGGCATAAGTGGGCAGCTTCAGCATCTAGGGCTGTTCCACTCTGAAAGATTAGAGCCAGTCTTGTCCGAGCTTTGAGGATCCCGTCCCACAAGCGGAAGCTAAGGAAGCTCTTCTGCGCGGCCGATGTAGACCAGAGTGGCACAGTGGAGTTGGATGAGTTCATCGACTTTGTCCTCAAAGGAAAGCAAGTCGTGGCAAAGATCATTCAGGAGGGACCTTACTGTTCCCTGCAAGTCTTGCTGATCTGAAAATTGGCAGAACCTGTTTCTACCGGATTTTGCCTACCTGAACCCCCACCCCCCCACGTCCTCACCCTGACAATCCTCCTTTCACCACTCAGCTGACAAGGACATCCTGCAGAAAGCTTGCCCTGCCAAGTTACCCGGAACTGGGCGTTGAGCCTTCGGGTAAACCAGCAAGGAGCAACAGCAAAACGAGTATGGCTTAGGCACCAGGCGCGAATGGCCCAGAACAGCCTGGGAAATTCCCTAAACCCTAAACCCGCAGAGGAGAAAGTCTGGAACTCACCCGCTTGCACAGGAGCCTCCACAAGGGACGCCCTCAGCAGAAGGTGTCCGATCAGACTGGAAGAAGGATGTTCTAGACGCTTGTCTGAATAGGTAGGCGCGACTGCCAGGAATGTGCTGCTCCTGCTCCTCCGTTCTCCGAGCATTGTAGACAGCTCTCAAGCCTTGCTGCCTTTGCCCTCATTCCTGTCACTCCACTTTCCATCATGGCAAGCGGTGGCTATCCCGGAGTTCGCACCACCAAGACTGGCGACGTGGCCCCTAGCGATGCCTTGAAGCTCCTGAAGGAAGGCAACGCTCGATTCGTCGAGGGCAAGCCGCAGTCCATCAAGACCAACGCCGAGATGAGGACGCTGCTGGTGGAGGAGGGCCAAGCTCCTCACACCGCCATCATCGGCTGCGCCGACAGCCGTGCCCCCTTGGAGAAGATCTTTGACGCTATGCCAGGGGACATCTTCGTCCTCCGAAATGCCGGGAACACCTGCACCCATGCCGAAGGAAGCTTCGTCGGAAGCCTGGAGTTTGCCACAGGAGCACTCGGCTCCCGGCTGATTCTCGTCCTGGGACACACCAAGTGCGGTGCCATCTACGGAGCCACGAAGGGCTACTTCGATGCCAAGCTAGGGGCTGGCAGTTCTTCGGGCTCCGCCCTGGAAGCCCTGCTGCACGATCTGGGCTCTGTCGCTGAGGTGGCTGCTGGTGAGAAGGGGGCGTCTGCCGACTTCGAGACCGTGGCATCCCATGCCGTGAAGGTGAACGTCTTCCACACCATCAACTTCCTGCTGAAGTACAGCAAGAGCCTCCGGCAGCAGGTTCAGAGTGGCAAGTTGGAGATCCAGGGCGGTATCTATCAGCTGGAGACAGGCAAGGTCGAGTTCCTTGGGCCCTCGCCGGAGCAGAAGGCGCTGACGGAGGAGAGCATTGCTTCGCTGCCGCCTTCGCTGCTCGCTCCCAAGGAGCCCGCCCCGGCCACGGTTCGCACCGCCGCGGATGATGCGGTGATCCCGCAGAAGGCCCTGGAATACCTCAAGAGCGGCAACAAGCGCTACGTGGCAGGCACGCCCAAGGCCCCAACTACCACTCAGGACATGAGGAAGGCTTTGGTGGACAAGGGCCAAGCTCCACATGCTGCCATCATTGGCTGTGCTGACTCGCGAGCCCCGGTGGAGACGCTCTTTGACGCGGCCCCTGGCGACCTCTTCGTCTTGCGAAATGCCGGCAACACATGCACCCACGCCGAAGGAAGCTTCTTGGGCAGCTTGGAGTTTTGCGTTGGCAAGCTCGGCAGCCGCCTCATTGTCGTCATGGGCCACACCAACTGCGGAGCACTGGCCGGGGCCGCCGGCACGTACCTGTCCATCAAGGAGGCTGCTGAGACCAAGACGCCTGGTTGCGCTCTTGAGGGCCTCCTTCAGGGCCTGACTTCCGTGGCAGGCCAGACAGCCCAGGAGATGGGTGGTACACCCAGCGCCGCCGAGATCGCAAGCGCGGCGGTGAAGGTGAACGTCTTCAACACGATCAACTTCCTCCTGAAGTTCAGCGAGCCCATTCGGGCCTTGGCCAAGAGCGGCGACTTGGAAATCCACGGTGCGGTCTACAAGCTGGAGACAGGTGAGGTGGACTTCTTCGGGCCCTCGCCGAAGCAGGCAGAGCTCTTGGCGTCGAAGATGCAGCTCCCTCCCTCCATGAGCAACGCCGCCGACTCCCTGGCGCTCATTGGTGCCCATGGCGTCCGGACTCCCGAGGACCCGCCGATGGCGGCACAGGCAGCCTTGAAGCTCTTGAAGGAAGGCAACGAGCGCTTTGCTGTGGGTGCTCCCATTGCTGGCAGAATCGATGCGAAGATGCGGAAAGCTTTGGCGACGGTTGGCCAGGCGCCCCACACGGCCGTTCTTGGCTGTGCAGACTCTCGGGTGCCACTTGAGTTGGTTTTCGATGGTCTGCCTGGAGATCTCTTCGTGCTCCGCAATGCCGGCAACACTTGCGTCCACTCTGAGGGCAGCGTGATGGGCTCGCTCGAGTTTTGCACCGGCGCTCTTGGCACGAAGCTCATTCTTGTCCTGGGCCACACCAAGTGCGGTGCCATCAACGGCGCCACGAAGGACTACATGGCCAACAAGGGCAAGTCCAGGGACCAGGCCTCCAACGCCCTCGGTGCACTCCTCCAGGGCCTGAACGACGTGGCCAAAAAGGCGGAAGAGGAGTTGGGCGGTTCCCCGAAGGAGGAGGAGATCGCAGTGCACGCGGTGAAAGTGAATGTCTTCAACTCCATGGACTTCCTTGTGAAGAACAGCCCCGTTCTGAAGAGCAAGGTCGAGTCCGGCGAGGTCGAGATCGAAGGAGGTATCTATGATCTGGACAGCGGCCGTGTGCGATGGCTGGGAAAGAGCCCCAATGCAGTCAAGGCGTAGTTCGAACACAAAACCCACAGGTTCACTGACAGCCCAGCCTTATGGGCTTGAGTCTTGAGAGCAATTCCACCACTTTTAAAGCACTGGGAGTTCCGTATGCGAGACTCCTCTCTGTGTGCTCCTTCGGAAAGCACGGGAGTGGTCTAGCTCACCACAATGCCTCGAGGCATTTGCAACGTATCATAATTTCACCTGTGGTTTTGGGCACGGCCATTATTGTTGAAACTACTCTGCTTACAAGCGCTAGCGCTTCTCTTGCTCCAAAGATTAACTTGATAAGGCCTGTGCTACCATACCTTTCTTCCAGTGCCGGCTATCTCCTTCAGCAGGGGCATAGCCAAACACAGAGCACAAGCATCTGACATTTCGCAACCTCGGGCGCCGATGCGACGTCCTCCCTCAGGCCGTTGGCCCCTTTTGCCAATTGAGGTGCCTTTCAATTTAAGCCCTCATACCTCCAGACTCGCCAAGTATGTGTACAAAAGCACTGCAACTCCCTGACCTGAACTGTGAGGTTCGATACCTTCGGCCCCGAGGGTGGCCATCAAGTCTCGATAGCATGGCTATTATTACAACAAGTATTATTATTACTGCTCGTGTTAGTATCATTACTATTATTTATTGCTATTGCTACTATTGTCTGAGCTTCTTAGGCCGCCCACAACGCCTTCCGCGCCGAGCACGCCGCTCCGGCCCTCACGTGGAGTGACGAGCGGCTCGGAGAGTGCAGAGGATCTGCAAAAGGTTCCTTTGAGGGATTCCTTTAATAAGGGCTCTCAGACTACCCATAGGCCCCAAAGTAGTTCCTTTTTGCCTTATCGGATTATCGAAATATGAACCCCAAAAATTAACTACTATGAGGCCCACGGGTAGAGACCAGTATTAGGGTTTAGGGTTCAGGGCTTTTGTTCTGGGCAGCGGGAGCTCCTGGGCAACGAGGCAAGCCCGCTGCAAAAGGATCTTAGGTAATTGAGCCCAGTAGCAAAAGGTTACGCCGAGTAGAAGAATCATGAAGGCGTTGTGCAGCAAAAGACGCTAATCAACGCTGGTAGAAATAGAGTAGTAGCAGTGGGCTTGTTGAGGATCTGAGATGCGGGGCTTTAAAAGGAAAGTCTGCAGTCGAAAGGTGCTACCTCCTGGCCAAGAAGCAGGCCAACGCATGCCAGGAAAGGTCTTGCATGTACCATGCTCCTCGGCGAGCACATGAACGCCTGAACGTCCTCGTCCTGTGTCGCCCCGGAAAGGAAAATTTCGGCTGCTTAAGCCTATGTATATCCTATGTCCTACGTGCCACAAGCAAATGCGTCACTCACCCAGTGTCATGCGAAATCCGTAATCTGGAGGTCTGACCTTGAGATCGCGTACCATTGGCTGTAGGCATGATGTGCAAGTCTGGTCTTTCGAGGTGGTTTGGACTAGTTTGAACCTGTACCTGTAGCAGTCCAGCAGCCTAGCAGTGGTTTTGCGTGGAGGTATGTTTCTGCTGTGCAAAGTAGCATTGTAGCGCCACCTGGCCATATGTATCGCATCAGACGCTGTTTGAACTCAATTGCTTTGTTTGGACATGTCGCTTTGACCAAGGGTTGCCTGGAAGGGCCGTCTGGCCGGCATGGGCAGAACATCTTCTGGCGCCTGGGCGAGCGGCCTTAGTGTAGGGGCCGCTTGAAATGTCTCGAGAGCCTGTTGGATTTGTGAGATTTGGGGGGGGCTACAGGTCGCGGGGCTTCTTCAGGGTTTCTTGGTCTGAGTATGACGGCAATCATTCGCACTTTGTCCATGTAGACGTTTGCCTTTAGGATATGGCCCTGCCCACCTCCTCGCCTTTATGACATTCAGACTGGTTCGCTGTCGAATCCGACACACTCGGCCGCGCAAGAGAAGATGAATGATCAGCCCATACACCTCCAGTAAGAGGCATGCATGTAGTAAGGATCCCTGCAGCCCGGAAGCCTAAACTCGACACACTGTCAGTCCGATAGAAACGATCCGACCCAGAGGGCAACACACATGTTGGCTCCGGACGTTTGAGTCATTTTCCGAAAGCTGGAAATACGGGACACCGTAATACACGGGCCCAAATAACTACGACTTTGGGGGTTACTTATTATGATTATATAATATAGTATACTATACCCCAAAACCCTATTCTAATTACTACGGCCCCTATATTATACTTATAGTAGAATATACTCCAAAACCCTATTCTAATTATGAAGGCCCCTACATGAACCTCGCCTGGAGCTCTCCGAGGGTCCGAACCCTGACTGTTCACTTCATGGGCCCATGGCACAGGAATCTTTCGACAGGACGCAAAACCCCCCAAACCCGATGATATAAGTCTTTAGCCCTACCAGCACCCGCCAACTACCGTCTATTATACCCTAACTACCCACTATTAAGGACCATAAGGGCTCTAAAAAAAGGGCACTTGGGGGGTGCTGGTAAACCCAAAGCCCAGACCCCTCCAAAACCTCAACCCTTGACTCTCCTGTGAGCATAATTTCTCTGCAATGCAAGGGGGAAAAGCACCCAAAATCAGCCTCCCAATGGGGACGGTCCCAGGTGCTGTTTTCCGGGGAAGTCGGCAGAGGAGAGGCTTCGCTGAAAGCGGTTGAGGGTTGAAAGGTTTGGGGGGCTACTCGTAAGATATTATAATCTACCATAAGATACTATAACATGCTATAAAATACTTTACTACACACACACACACATATATATATATACATATATATATATATAGTTATATAGATAATACTGTCGTTTTTTGGGTTGGTTTGGGGATTGGAAGTCACGAGATTTTGTGCCAGGGAGTCTTGGCGTCTTCGCAGGTGTAGCCCAAGTGTAGGGTTCAGAGTTTAGGGTTCAGGGTTTGGTTTAGGGCTCAGCGGTTTAGGGTTCAGGGGGAGTGGTAGGGCTTGGCGTGACGGTGTGCTTTGTTGTTCGCCTGGTTGGTTTAGGGTTTAGCATAGTAAGGGTTTGCGGTTGCTTGAGGGTATTGTGGGCCATTAGGGTATGGTGTTGGTTAGGGATTTAGGTCGTTGGCGTTGCGGGCTTGCGAGGGACTAGTTTCTCAGTGCTGCAAACTGGTATCAGTCGTTTTCAGATGCAGAGTGCGTGGCTACGAGCTTGGGGTGGCTGGGCTCCACAGTCCATCTATTGTACTTCTAGAATAAATAACCTGCGTGCGGCCAAGGATGACCCAAGCATGGTATGATGAGATCAACCAACCGGGCTATGACTGGAAGAAGGCCACGTTTTCTCCTGGCACAGGACACTTCACCCAAGTCGTTTGGAAAGGACCGCCCCTTGGGATCCCAAAATTTGAAAGGTTTGGGGGCCTACTCGTAAGATACTACAGTTACTACAGTATACCATGAGTTACTATAATATACCATAAGATACTATACTATACATATATATATATATATATATAATATGTATACTATATATATATATATACACACACACACACACATATATATATATATATATGTATACATGTAATATACTGAAATGTCGCAGACCACTCCGGAAGCACTGGACGCGATTCCTCCAGTTTCTCTGCCTGGCCTTAGGCGACTGCCCCCCGAGTCCCGCTAGTGGTTGTGCTTGTGAACACCCCTAAACCCTAAACCCCGAAACCCTAAACCCCTAAACCCTAAACCGTGAGCTGTAAGTTGACAGTGCTGCGAGGAACCAAGCAAGTGGGCATGGCTTTGTCGGAAGATGGCCGCTTCTGCGTTGCGAACTATTTTCCGGCGGGAAACATGATGGGGTCCTTCAAAGAGAACGTTCTTCCGCGGGGCACTCCGTACGAGCCCAAGAAGGACCCTGTTTCGTATGATCCTGTCTTCATTGCCGTTTTCCATCAGCTCGTAGTGCCGAAGTCATGATCACGAGGTGAGAACAAACATGCCGAGTATGCGAGCCACAACCAGAACTACAACTACAGCTATCCGTGCCATGAGCGGCACCATGCCGCCCTTAGTTCCAGCTCGAGTTGCTTTTTCATCTAGTCCGAGTATCGATGCACATCCCCCCCCGCCTTTGCTTCATGGGAGCCGTAGCAGCCACGACCGGAATCCGAATCCGTCACTTCCCTAGAGCCCTGAACACTACCGAGAAACTAGTTTGGTGGCATTGAAACCGCCGTGAGCAGGGATATGCTCCACCATCTTAAGATCTCTTGCTGCACTTTCAATAATAGAGATTGATAGATTAGAGTGTGGCGGTAGAACTTCATACTATGTTTCGGCTTGTACTACGGTGCTATGCCGCCACGCTTCTGATACGACTTCGGCTCGACCACGCCAGGGCAGCTTCCGCCTGTTATACTCATATGTAACCATGTACGCCGCAGGTGCCACAGGCTGCAACGACATGTTGATCATAGCATTAGCAGCGGTAGCTGCACATGCTACACTGACCAGAATAACTCTCACCATCGTAGCATATATTAGAGGTTGAGAGACTAGTTAAAAAAACATCGTGTTGCGTTTGTTGGCAACAGGAAATGGTGTTCTGAACAATCGAACAACACCCAGACTCGAGCCTTGCTAGACTCTCTAAGCCCCACTGTAAACCCTAAAGGCAAAAAGCAGACATGCAGGCAGAAGTCCATGCAGCTGTGCTGTCCTGCTTCGTAGTACCTTCCAATGCCTCCTCCTTTTGGGAATTGTCGACGCAGACAATGTAGAAGGAAAGAGGCCCGACCCCTCCAAAAAACAACGCGCAGACATGGAGTGGACAGGAGGCGCCGAAGCCCGCGCCGAAAGCAAGAGCTGCGGCCGCAGGTAGGTTTAGCGCCCTTGTAGGTTTGTAAGGGTTCCTGAACAGGCTTTGTGGCTTGGGGTGTAGGACTTCGGGCTCCGACGGCTGACGGAGATCTTGGATGCTGTAATTGCTGGGTTGTCTTTACTTTGTGGGAACATGGGGTTTAGACATGTGTAGGCGTGTAGGCTTCGGGAAGTTGGGATTCAGCGATGGAGTCAGGTTGGGAGAGCATACTTCGTGGCGAGTCGCGGCTTTCGTAAACTACGAAACCAAGTACGTAACCCTAAACCTCTAATCCCCAAATCGAGAAGTGTACCAAGCCCTAAACACTCGCCTGCATTGTTCGATTCACGAGTCGCCGTGGTATGGGTTGTATACGAACAGCTTTTGTTCGCTCACTTGGACCTAAGGTTATGAACTCTAAACCCTAAACAGGCTCTTGATCTTGACGAGTGTTTCACTTCTTTGCAGACCTCGAACCATATGCCTCGCCTGGTCTGTCCGAGTGTGAGCACCGAAACCCGCTAAACCCAAAACTCTATAAAACCTAAACCCTAAAAAGCCTCACAAACCCTAAACCAAAATCGGTCTTTGTTGGGCCTCAAGGCTATGGAGGATTCTCGGCTTAGGGAAGGCAAGAGGCCTCCAACCTACATGTTATTGGGATGTTAGGGTTTAGGGTTTAGGGTCTTGCTTGAGATTTGGCACGTCGGAGGTTCAGAGTCCAGCCAGAAACCTCCACAGAGCTGAAATCGAGCTGTCCGCAGCTGACGCAGATGCTGGTGCGCCCAGCAGTGATGCTGGAGGCGAGCCTAAGAAGACCGTCACTGCGAAGGCCCCCATTCTCAGGGACCGCATCATGCGGAAAGAATATAGGGGCCTAAACAATTTCCTACAGTATTTTGGAGGTGTCTTATTATAAGTCTAGTACAGTATACCCCAAACCCCAATTCTAAGTGAGAGGGAAACAGTTTAATTATCAAGGCCCCTACATTGTTCTGGCACTTGTAGCTCCTAGGCTTCCGGTGCATAGTGGCAGTAACTTGCCGGTTGGGTGTTCGTTCGTTGTGTGCGTTCGCAGGTGCTTAGTTGGGTTGAGGGCTGCGGGTCAGCTTGCTGCGCATAGGGTCTAAGGGGTCTTAAGCATTTTTGCGCTGAGGTTTTGTTGCTCGGAGTTTTGCAAAGTTCTGGGTTTGATTCGTTGGGAAGGGCTGGAGTTTGGGTGTGCGAAGTGGGATGCGGCTCCACAGCCAAGGGATCCTCGGTATTATTACGATTATCTTCATTATTATGATGATTGTTATGATTCATTTTCAGGTTCTGCTCAAAACTATGAAGCAAGCTTATCATGCACCCAAAACCCCGGGGATCCTGCCACTGTAGCATTTCCGCCGTCAGCTTCTGCCAAAGAGAAAATCGATAAAATACAACACCTAAATACAAACGAGTCCCTAAATAATACCGAAACCCTACACCCGCTTACTCTGTTCGTACCGGAAAGTCCCAGACAATGACGCCGGAGCTCGCGGCGGTCTTCGAGGACTGCCCCTTCCCATTCAAGGACGGGCCGTTTTGGATTTTGGCTGTCCAGGTCGTCCTGTTTCGCTTTAAAGGAGGTTTTTCGCTGTCAGTCCTAAGCCTCGAAACACCTAAATTGTCCGAGTGTGAGCGCCGAAACCCCCTGCGTCCTGCGAAAAGAGCCTGAAGTAATATGCCATAGTATGCTAGACCATGCAATACAAATACACAATCTTCTATATCTTCACAGTACTATTGAGCTACAGTGTACTGTACTCGATTGTCCTCTACTACGCATTGTGATACGATGCGAAATGAGACTATATTTGATCATAGTTATATATATATATATAATGGACACATATTGTATCGTAGCATAGTATCATACAGTACTGTACAACAGAAGAGAACAACACAGAGCAGCACGGAAGTCAGCAGAGCGGAACTTATGGAACATAGTAGAATGCAACATTACATGATACGATATTGCAACAATGGCATAGTATATGATTAGCTTACACAACAACATGTTCAGCAGGATAAGCTCATGTAATAATGTGCTATATTTGGTAAACGAGTTTTTGCTACACATGCACATGCAGATACAATATGTTGCAACATATCATGCTTGACCTACTAAACTTTTTCTGTCTCGCATGCGAAATTCACCTTACTACGCTTTGCATTACCACACCATACTGTACTCCGCTTTTTTGGCTCTACTATACTATATCGTGCTACGCTACACCATGGGAACGATAATAATATACTCTACGAGCATATAGAGTCGTATAAATACAGACCACCTCATGCCTTATCAGACATATACATATGTATATAAGAGTTTTGCGTGGGTCAGCAGTCTCAGCCTTCAGGAGATGGACTTCTGGGTGGTTTCTGCTCTGTTTTGCATTGCTCTTCCGGGTTTCATGCGGTTTGAAACGGCATATTTGAGAACAAGGTTGCAACGTGCACAGCATTGGCAGTCACAGACATGCTTTTGTTTAGGGGAGGCTTCCTTAGACGCGGAGAGGCTACGGAATCCCTGGAAGTTACCGTTTCAAAGCGATCCTGAGGCGTAGAGAGAAGGTGGCTACCATTCATGATAGGTAGGCACCTGATATGCTGTCCGACGGCTTGACATCCGGATCTATGTCAGCTCCGAGACACATTCGAGACGCCTGAACCCTACTGCAAGTAAGCCCTAAATAGTTGTGAGAGTGTAAACCCTAAATAGAAAGCAGGTGGCCCCAACCCTAACCTTAAACCCGACTATCCATGTATTCCCTCAGATTCTCATCCACTGGTCAAAGGAGAAGGCAGAAACTGCTCTGAACGAGGGAGCTGAGGTCACCGTGGCTTGGCTTCACCATGGAACCACCCCACTGGAGGTGCCTGAATCCTTAGAAGGGTTTTGGGCGTCGAATATAGCCAAAATACAGAAACCTCAACCACCGACGGATTTGCAGATAACATCACGGGACAGATGCTCGACTCCTGGAGTAAAGGTACACAAAGACTTTAAGTCCGGAACTTTAGACTGCACAGGCTTCTCCGGTGCAGGCAACCTTGCAGGGGCTTTTCAGTTGAGAGTCCGTGAGGGAGCGAGAGTGAGAGAGAGAGAGAGAGAGATCACAGTCCCTTCAAAGCCCCATAATACATAGGGGGCCCATGTGGCCGAGGGACCTGACAAGTCCCTTATGCCCAGTGGAAGAAGAGAGAGAGAGAGAGAGAGAGAGAGTGCGAGCGAGTGGAGTCTCGCGGCGACTCCAGAAGAAGATATCAACAAAGCCTTCTTGAGGCCCACAACAAGAGCAGACCTCTAATTAAAGTGTTGTTCTGCAGGGCCGGGATACAGTAAGCAGCTTCTACATTGGTTCTATGCATGACAGTTGAAGCCTGGAGCACTGATAGCTCTGCTGCAAGATGTTGCTGGTCCTATTAAGGTGCTACTACCACCGCGGTAGCAACAACAGCCAGCAGCAGCAAGAACGACGATACTGCCAGTCCTACCACCGTACAGAAGTAGCAATCAACGTAGAGTCCTGCACTACGGTTCGTGCGATTACGAGAAGCACTCGGAACAAATTTCAAACAGACAGCGGAGCTCGCGGTTAAGTCTCTAGATCTCTCTCGTGATTTCTTTTCAGCACTGGCACGGCCTCGTAGTACCGACATCGTATTGTCCGAGCATGGTCTCTTGCGAACGCTTCCCTGCAGCTGAGGTGACACGAGAGGAGATAGGCATCCGAAAGACCATCGAGGTGACCATCAAGCAGGGACACAGCACCTCCCGCATGAGGGGGGCTTGGGGTGCCCGAGGCTGATTCTAAGACCCATCCTGGCTGGTGAAAGGCCGGGATGGGTACAGCACTTTAACTCTTGGGTGGGGGCTGTGGGTCTCCGAGCTTTGCAGTGAACCCTGAACCCTCCAAGCTGATCCCTCTAAGCTCGCATTGTGATTGTCTACGTAGTTCTGGATCCATGAAATTTTCAGGTATGTTTGGAAGCATGGAGAGCAAATGAGCTGGTATGCCTGGAGTATCTGTAGCTACATAAGCAGGGAATAGCAAGGAAATGCAGAGAGCTGGTGAACATTGGGATGGCTGTAGATGCAGATGTGGTAGATGGAAAAACAAAACGTTGTGTGTGTGTGTGTATACAGCCGGTGTGTGTGTGTGTAATACATATATATATATATATATATATGCATATATATATATATATATTCACATATGTATGTATACACATACGTCTATAAGCATAGAACAAAAATTCGACATAGATAAAGAGACGGAGTCAATGCCCATGCTGCAGCTGCAAATGTTGGAGCTTTTCAGCCCTGTCACCCGACCGCCTGTGCGAATGAAGCGCTGACGGACAGATGTCCAACGTGCCGACGGCACAGGTTTGGCAGTACAGGAAGCAGGGTGTTTGACGTTTTGGTGGGTGAAGCGTGCTGTTTCACCCTGCAGCCTCAACTGCACTGACACCCAAACTTACAAGGATTTTCTAAGATGTCCCTTCCTTCACCTGATTTCCTGCAACTGTCGCCCCCTCGCAGATCAGATGCTACAAGAGGCATGTACACCAGAGCTGCTGTTTTGCGGTGGAGCTCTAGGAATACGCGTTAGAGCGTATGGATCGTATGCAGCCTGGAGGCTTGAGACTTTGGTGCTAAGGGGTCTGTTTATTCGCACTTTCCAAAGAAAGTTTCGAGGGCACAGGTATGCAGAGCTGCAAGCTGGGTGGTACATGTGGGTAGTGTGTAGTTCTTTGCCGGCCAGCTGGCTGGCCACGCGGCTGTTAGTTGCTGGCCTGGTTCGTGTCGGTCAGATTACGGCAGATGGATGCACACTCTTTGCAGTCGCCGGTTCTTACAGTAGTCCCACCTATCCTCATCATAAACATCATCATGTTCATGTGCAGCTGATGGCCCGGACCCTTCTTGGGCCAGCCGTGTACAAGCGGAATTCGTCCGCCCCTCGTCACTGCGAGCCAGAAATACGGCTTCCTAGGGCGAAGTGGAGCTTCAGAGGCAATCGCAGAGAAGAGGAGGCGTTTGAAGAAGGAGGGGCCTTCAACATGGGGGCTGTCCCTTCTGTACTCTGCCCGGCCGCTTGTTGCGGTTGGGTGGTGCTGCAGAACACGCTGCGGCATTGCCGGCGAGAGCCGGGGAAAGAGGCATCGAGGGGGGCAGCATCTTTTCAGGTTCCTTCGCTTTACTTGCCAGCCGTCCGGCACAAGTGCAGGTATCTACGAGGAGAAGTCTTGATAAGGTCGGAAGTTAGCTGCCGAGTGCCGCAGTGTAGAGCCTCAATATTTTGTGAGGATGTTTTTCCCGAGCGCCAAGACCGGCTGTTCCGAGAAGCTTCTTTAGTTGCACAGATGCTTGCAGGATGTTGCTTCGCCCAAGCCGGTCACCCAGAGCTTGCAACTCCCTGCATGAGAATAGAGGGTCCTCTTGTATGGTCTACGGCCGAGTTTGCTGCTGGGTGCAAGCTCAATGCACGGACTCAAGCCCCAGAGGGCCCAGTCTGCTTCCTCGGTCGAAAGCACCGTCAGGCTCGGCTCCTTGAGGTTCCCCGGAGATGAAGGCCAGACTCCAAGCAGAAGCAAAGCAGCTCGGAGTAGATCTGGTGTGGGTGCGTGCGTCGAAGGCAGCTGTGAATCGAACTCTTGCCCAACCTCCGCGCCCCAAGCCGCCAGGATCGCAGCAGCTTCCGGACACGCTGGCATGCCTTGCCTTTGCAAATCCGTCGTTGACAGAACTCGAAGACACTGGTAGCTTCAACGAAACTGTTCCTGACGTCAGCACGTGCCCCATCCTGCGGAACAGGCCATGTTCTGGTGCAGGGCTCAGGCTTTACGATACAACGTAGTATAGTAATATAGCATGCTATAATTTATATAGCATGCTGTGACAGAGCAGAATAGAGTAGAGCAGCGTTAGTTTTTCATTTCAAGCCCCAAGACATGGCAGGATTGGGATCGCCTCCTGCCAAGCTCCCAGCTATGCACATCTCTTTGCTGACGAGTGCTTCAGAGGGCTATACTATGGCATTTGAATGCGTTTGATGCGTGCCGCTAGCGCAAGTCCTGTCCAGATATTTTTCAGGCGCCATATGTGTGAGGTGGTTTTGTTCGTGTTTCTGGCGACGTGCGTTAGGTGGCGAGGAATCTTTGAACTTTGTGGAACCCCAGCAGAAGCTGATCCCTGAATAAGAATAAGGATCACCTTTTAGATTCCTCGAAGCTCTCTGGGTTTCTTGGTAGCTGAGTAGGTTACCTTTAACCTCTTTGGGTTAATTAAAACTTCCCTAAACCCTAAACCCTACAATTGAAAGGTTAAACCCTTCTCTTGGGCTCGGATACCTCGGCCCCTCAGGTTTTCTGGCGATGAAGGCATCCCATCTCTGCCGTTCGGCACTCAGGCGCTTTCCCTTTGACTGAACCTAAGAGTCTGTATTAGGAAGCCATGGGACAAGATAGGGGCTCGAAGAATTTAGAAGAGGGTTTTGGGGGGATATGGCTTACAGTAGACTATACGCATAATCAGGAATCCTGGGGAGCATGTTTTTGTAGTTAGTTAGGTTCCTGCATCATGTCTGCTATGCGTCTACCCGCCTGTCTACCATCAGTCATCAGTCGATCTATCTGACCTACCCACCTACCCACCTGCATACCATCAGTCGATCTATCTGACCTACCCACCTACCCACCTGTCTACCACAAGCCAATCTATCTGACATCCCTACCTACCGTGCCTTCATCTCCGCTTATCGGTATACCTCTTCTATCCACATCTCTTCGTCGACCCGCCAACCTTTTACATCTACCGGCCCCCTGGTGTTCAGGCCTCCGCACATACATGTGGACGCTTTGCTTGAACCAGTGTAACATCGAAGCTTAGGCTTCTGTATTCAAAAGTATCCAGCAGATATCCATGGGGATTGTGTAAACTGGGCTCCACGTTTGGAGGCCGCCGTATTGCTGAGAGTTAGGTGGTCTTTCCTAGTTCCAAGAACCCAGCAGTGAACCCGAATTCAGAGAACCCCCCCCCCCCCCCCATATTCATCTCAGGCAGACCCCCTCCGATCTCTCTCGGTCGGGTGATGTTGCAGCAGGCGCAATCTGACCGGCAAAGGGTTTGAGGAGCAGGCTTGGTGATATGGGCATACCACCCAACAAAGCCGCAGTTGACATCTCGACCTTGTTATCCGCACATATGGGTGTTTGTGTATGAATTAGAACTATGTTGAAATTATGTACTACATAGGTGTGTGTACCTTCACATGTGCTTGTACACAGTCTGCGGCTTGTTGAGTTGGCTTTGCCTGGTCGTTTGTTGGCCCTGGACTCCGTTCCTACGCAAAGTAGCTTGTAGTCCAACTTTGGTCGGCTCCTGTGATGTTTAAATGTTACTTTAGTCCCGAAATCTACTTCGTGTATCAAGGCGAGTCTTTGCTTTGTCGTTGGGTTATGGATTTTTCAGTGGTGTTACTTGTAGGCATTCGGGCTCTGAAACGGCTGGGGCCCTGGAAAGATATGTCTCACAGCATATTATGTGCATGTTTGTGTCTACAGACATTTGAAGAACAACGTACGTACTCGCAGATAGACACAAACACGCGCACGCATGCACGAGCACAGGCACGATCATGCCCGTTGTATGTACGATGCATAGTTGTAGGTCTCGTCGTTATCCCATCGCAGGTTTGCCACAGGCTGTCTTATTTTTTTACGGCGGTCTGGCATGTCTGGCCACGCGGCCTTGTGCGAGTGTGAGAGGCGAGAGATCGTCATCAAGCAAAAACCCTCAGAAACCCGTCTGGTGAGCTGTGAGTCCGAGCCAACTCAAACCGCTAATCCCCCAAAAGGCCGAATTCCGTAAATCCTTAACCCTAAACCCTAAACCCTTTACTGCACAAATAGAGCCACGGTCCCACTGGCCAGGGGTGCAGCCTGACCCGCCGGCATGATTTCGATTGGGGCAATAGGTGGGAATTCCGAGCTTCTGGTAGTTGTAGTAGTTGTACCAGCAGGAGTACTAGGAGTGGTGTGTCTGCTACCAGTAGTGGAAGACAACCCCTAAGAAGCATTCCGGGATTTCTACCCCAAAGCGGACATCGCTGCTCAGGGGGTTGGGGTTTTGGCTTTAGCAACATTTCGCTTTAAAGTTTAGGGTTTCAATGTTGCATTTTATCCGTCCACTCCTCTTGCCGCTTGGCTCACACAACCGGATCAGTTCACGCGCGCAAGCCACTCGAAAGGTTTTCTCGCCCAAGCTTCTTGGATGACGACCAGACCAGTGACTGCGTTCATGCGGCCGAACCTTCAGACCTATGTCAGAAACCTGATCAACCAAGGCTTCAGCAATCATGGTGAAGGGTGTCCCGCAGAAGAAGGGTGGCAAGGGCACCAGCTCCCCGGCAGACTATGAGAACTAGGGTCGCCTACTGTACCCGTGCAGGAACCAAGCAATTAAGCAGGAGTGTGTACAAGACGGGCACGCCGCTCATGCTGAGGCAAGAAGGTGACTTTGCAACTTGGCTTCAAGGTAGATTCGTGGGACAACTGACAAACTAAAGTGACAGCCTGTCGCTGTCTCAGTCGAGCCAGCACATACTAAACCCTCTCGCAGGTCCAGACACCTGGACGCAGTGCCGAAACCGCAGTGGTGACCACGAAGTCCCCTTAACATCAGTAGTGACCAGGGAGGTGTTGTCACCGTTTCCAGTGCTGTTGTCTGAAGTTGCCCCCAGATCCACACTATTGGCGAACAATGCCGGGTGTGCCAATAGACCTTTCAGCGCCCTGCTAGTAAGCGTAGAGTAACCGTATCATAGTATCCGAATTGCTCCTCCGTGAGTCCTTCCCCCTTGTGTGAGTTGATTTTCTTCCCGGCATACAGGAAGTTCACTGTGGACTGCCAGCAGCCCGCCGAAGACAAGATCATCGAGGTCAAGGACGCGATTATCCTCTTAAATCCGTTTAGTTCTCGAATTTGGGGACCTATACATTTTTGTCCACAATGGCACTGTCCGGAATACGTTTATGATGGGATGGGCTTGCGCAGCTGAGTAGCAGAACTATCGATCTAGTCCCAGCCCGACTCCCGACCATGGCATGTGAGCTCGTCTAGACTGTCCTTGGTGTTCTCGTCCCAACGGTGTGAGACAATATAGCACTTTTGGTTTGCATCGCTGTTGGGTTTCAGCATCATTTTTGTATTACAAACTGTTAGCAGACGTATACAGCATCGTGCGGCCACATGCCGTTTTTCCGCACGACAATTAACAGCCAGTGTGTTTCACACCCCAAGCTGCTGCGTTTCGCACTAGAGCGCTCTCTTTGCTATGCTTCGCAGTGATGGGTCGTTAGGGGAACAGAGATGAGCACTGTCGGGCTGACAACAACTTCCCAAAGCATCGAGGACTTCGAGAAGTTCCTGACGAACAAGATCAAGGTGGATGGCAAGACCGGCAACCTCGGCGACAAGGCACCTTTCGATTTTCTGCGGCACGCTTAGGGCCCGTTTTTTTTTTTGGTGGGGGGGCAGTACAAGGGGGCAGTACAAGGCTTGGGTTTATAGGGCTTATACAGGATATAGAGCTTTACCCTGAACTCCAAAACCTCAAACCTTTAAGTAACCGTTAGGCATAGCCACCCTCTCAAGGCAAGCCTGAAGTCCTAGAGCCCTACTGTACCCCCTAAATGAGTGGCACATGACATACAGGTTACCATCAGCCGTGAGAAGAGCAAGATCCACGTCGTCGCCGAATCGCCGTTCTCCAAGCGTTGCTTTGCTGAAGATTCTTGGGATTTAGGGCTTAGAGGTTTAAGGCTCGCTTGGGGTTTCCGAAACGTCTCCGTAGCTGATTACGGGGCTTAGGGCTGAGGGCCGAACCGCTGAATGTTAAGAAGCTGGTCTCGGGGGGTTGAACGCCCTGAAACCTCGAGCTTCGGGGTGGATCTCACCGGAGAAACATACAGTAAACCGCACATGACGCAAAGGCTACCTGAAGTATTTGGGCAAGAAGTACTTGAAGTCTCAGCAGCTCCGCGACTTCTTGCGCATCGTCGCTCCCAGCAAGACCTCCTACGAGATGCGTTGCTTGGCTTTAACCAACATACGACACTATAATGAAATATGCTACTATATTAATATTAAGAAATTATGTGATACGATACTATAATAAACCGCCACTAAGCCATAACACAATATTCGGGGCCAACCGTAACCGGGATGACTTCAGGAACTCGCATGGGCTTGAAGCGCAACCTTCGGACAGCTAGACGGCCACGGCCAACATAGGAAGGGTTGCTCTTTCATTAGACGTGGAACTAATACTGGCCAAGCCCACTTGCTTTCACAAGGCTTTTTGTTGGGTACCAGGTTACTTCAACATTAACGAGAACAAGGACGATGAGGAGTGAGCGCAAGAAGGCCGGAGCTCAAGCTGCGATTGGGTTTCAACCGGAAATCGGAGGTTTTCTCTGCCTGCACAGGGCGTTTGTCTGACAGACTTGTTGCTGAGTGCTTCTTATCGTGGGGGGTGCAGTGGCATGGCTCGAAGTTGCAAAATATCAGTCGGTGAACTGTGAACTGCAAGTCGTGACGTTTTGCCAGGTCTCGAGTGAAGCGCCCTGTGAACTGACGGCTTCGCAGCGTTTGCGCAAAACGAAGACCAGGGATATCGAATGGCACAGATTGAGAGTGGAGCGACTTCTTCGATTTGGGTCTTGGCACAGCTATGCTATGCATATATTCGGCTGGGGGTTGTTGGTATCATGGGCATTCCCCGAGGCAGGTAGTGCCAGCCTTTACTCATACTTTGCTCACCGGCACGCATCTACGACGAGCATTTCTACAGGGTATGCTGAACTGGAAAAGCTCCCATGTCAGATCAGTCGCTGGCCAGCAGCATGGGCAAATGCAAAATGTAAAAGTTGTGCGTGGCGGAGTTCCATTCCTCGAGCCAGGAAAATGCGCTGCAGGAGCTGGGGACCTGCTCAGGATCAAAATCGATGACCTGGCAAATCTCAAAGATGAATGATTAATGCTTGAATGATGAGCAATATTTGTCCCTTTCAGTCCTCAAGGCACCCCAAAACCCCGTTGGTAATTTTAATTCATCAAGGCCCGAATAGTAGCTGTCCATGCCACCAGGAGGCAGCGTTCACACGTGCCGAGCTGGATGAGCGGGGCACCCAACAGGGTGCATGCATCTGTGCTGATTGGAATTAATGTAGGGCGTAAATCATTACCAATACTATCTTGGGGTTCCTTCTCATATCTATGGTATCGTATGCCCCAAAACCCTATTCTAATTATTAAGGCCCCTATATTATGGTCCTAGAGTCGCTATGTTGTTCGTGTCCTACAGGTTGGATCCAACGAAAGCTAGGCTCTACAATGACCCGAGGAAACGGGCACCAATCCGAATGTTTCAGACGTCGCTGTGAGTTATCGTGGCTTTTGGGTGCTCACGGCCCCAACATCAGTAACTAATCTCTTGAAGCAGCGAGAGGTTTCAATTAATGATAAGAACGTTGTGCCCCGGCTAACAAGATCCGACTGTGGTCTTGCTTGCCTGCATGAATGTACTGTACAGCAGTCAACACAAAAGTGTGTGTGTGTATGAATATATATATATATATAATTATGTATATGTATATGACATACCAAACCTTGTGTGGCGCTTGAGTGGCAGCTGACGAACAAGAGGGTGAGAATGATGGTGGTGCTCCTTCTGGCGACGACAATGACGAAGAAGCCAGAAAGCCTGCAGATGATGGAATGATATATGATGGAGTATTAGGATGGTGATGGTGACAGCGATGATGATGGTGAGGCTTAACATGATGACGTGGTCACAAGTGCCGGTGCGCCGCATTTTGCAGGCAGCTGTCAACCGCCTCGGAGTTGCACCAAAGGGCCTTTGAGTGGCTTCGCCCGGATCCCAAGAACGAGGCATCTAGCTTTGACATAGCAGTGGCAGCATGAATAGAAGGGGCATCAATGCGTGTAAGTGCACGTGTCTTTGGGTACCAGAAAAGGGACATGGTTTCTGTATGTAGAAACTTCGTCGCACCATGGCGGAATATACCTACCTTCCCCAATGCTTTTGGCGTGTCTCTCTATCATTGTGGCAAGATGGTACCGCAGACCGGTCCTTGCCTCCATTGTCTCTGTGTAGTCGTTATTCCTCATGGTGAGACCTACCCGGCCCCCTTTCCGGAACCCTTCGTCGAGGCTCCCTCTTTGTACGCTTGGAGTTCAGCATAATATGCTGTAATATACTAAAATATACTACAATATACTATAATATACTATAGTATACTATAATATACTATAGTATACTATAATATACTAGGATAGGGAGTGTTTCTCATGTCCTTCAACATTGGGCCTCTGCTCGTGCTCAATGTCAATGGCCCGAGTGAACCGACTCGATCTGTCTGCAGACTACCAACTGTGGCGGTGTTCTTCACGGCACGGTGTTGGAGCAATTACAAACTATGCATGATACCTTGTGGCTTTGATTTGTTGCGGCAGTGCCTCCACGCTTTGTGGAGCGCTCCGACGTTCGGGCGATCGCGCTAGCGCATGAGCCTTTCGGTTCACACGCCCGGATGCCTTCGGGGTCTTCTGGGCTTGGGGCGTGGAACATAAGAGATCAGAGAGCCCAGGTCTCGGAAGCCATGGGTCTTCTTCTTCTTCATGTTCCTTTGACTCTTGTCACCGCTATGTGGCCGTGCCATGGCTCAAGCCGCAAGCCCCTCGGAGGTTCCCGGTGAGACCAAGTGTGCCATGGCTGAAGCGGTGAAGTTTGAGAAGTTTGATGCCTCAGTGAACGAGCGTGGAGTTTGCCGTGCAGTTTCCATCAGCTTCGTGGCACATGTTCTTGGCTGCAGCGAGGAAGAGGAAGGAGAAGTCTGTGCGCCCATGCCATACTCGGGCTACCTTCCCGACGACGTGGAAGCCTTGCAGAAGTGGAGGGCAGATGAGCTTTACGACGAGTCTGACTTTGTCAAGGACCTCACGGAGCTGCGTGCGCCAGCACCCATTCTCATGAGCAGCTTTGGGGACAAGCTTGCCTTGCACGAAATGATCTCTGAAAAGGTGGACGGCTGGGACGCAGCCATGGCTAAAGTCGGCCCGCAGCTCGAGCTCGGAGACCAAAAGTATGCTTTCGTGTTTTCGTTCTACTACCTGAAGCTGGACGGCCGACGTGAGGGGAAACATGCCATTGCTGTGGATACATCTGGAAGGGAAGGCCACTACCATGTCATGGATCCTAATCAGGGAGTGTGGCAATTCGACAGCATCGGTGCCTTACTCCACTGGTTACGGCATGGGGCAGAGCTGGTCGCCGGCAAACGTGTCCACGCAGTACGCTTACTGAGGGCGGCAAAAGTCTAGGCTTCCGAATACCTCCCTCCCCCCTTCTATCGGAATGTTGGGCCGGGGCCAGGATCTGTACAGGGCCTCGTGATTGGGCTCTGAGGACGGCGCAAGTGCTAGGGGACATTCGTACAGCTCCTCGTGGCCATGGAAACAGCCTTGCACAGACACTTGCTCTGACATGACAAGTACCCTGTGTGATTGCCTAAGTCTTCACAGCCTGCGCCTTAAGAAAAGAAGAAGACCTACTGCCACTAGGACGCCCTGCTCGCCAAGTTGCGACAGCCGAAACCCTAGGAATGACTGAACCCCGTAGACCCTAAACCGCAAGCCAGACCACAAGCCTCGCCTGCATTCTCCAAGTGTGAGAGCCGAAACCGCAAGCCCGAAACCCTAAGCCATCCAGCTAGCCCTAAACCTTATAAGCTCCTAAGCTCAGTCGACACTAAACCTGCAAACCCTAAACCCCGCGCCCAGTCAACCCTAAACCTTCTTACATTTTTCGGACAGGTATAAAGGGGGCTTTTTTTCCCAAAGGTCCTGTGGCAAAGTTGGAGAGTGTTGCATCG